GGGGGAGGCAGCACCAAAGGCAGATGACGGTGATCGCTGCGTTGCAGGCAGGTGCAGAAGGTGGACTGACTGCGGCTTCACTGGGTTGGGCAACAGTGCACAAACTAAGCAAGCTTGTGTCCACCCCTCTTAGGCATGCAGAACGTCGCGCGCAACACACCCAAAGCCCCACGCCACGCCACAGCTTTGCTGGCCCCGTGCCTCACTCGCTAACGCCAGCTGTGCCCACTCAGCGTAGGGCGCGTCTCCGATGCCGTCGCCGGGCAGCAGCACGTCCGCAGGAGGCGCCTGGCGCGGCGCTCCGCTGGCTGATGCCGTCTGTGGCAACCCCGGCCCCTCTCTGTAGAGCCCTGACCGCTCCAGGACTCCCAGCACACCTGCCCAGGGGTGGTGGGCGGTGTGGAGCTGGCTTGGAAGGATGGACTATGCAGGCCACCTTCCCACAGCATCTGCTGAAGAAACACCAAGGCTACCCCAGCAATGACAAAAGATGCAGAGGCACCAAGCAGGCGCAGCATAGGACCCCCGCTGGCCCAGCGCAACACTCACCTTCGCCACTGCCCTCTTCGACAGACAACCCCCCTGCTTGTTCCTGAGCAAGGCCCGCCTCTGATGCAGCACCTGTTGCATCCCCGGCTTCTGTAGCCCCCTGAACAGGCAAGGCGCCTTCATCAGCCGCAGCAGCTGGCGCCGGACGGACGCCGCCGTCGCCGCTGCTCCTGCTGGTGCAGTTGCTGTTGCCAGGAGCATCGGCCTCTGCAGCGACATGGCTGCCACCTGGTTGCATCGGTTGAACAGAGCTGCTTGCCGGTGCGCCTGCTGGCAGGTCGGGGGGTAGCCCCAGACTCACACGCCTCTGCTGCCAGTCCCACAGACGCGCCAGCTCCTGATGCGGCAAGACAGGTTGGGAGCGGATGGCGATTCTGGGCGGGGGACTCGCCTTTCAGCTGCTGAGGCACTAACCCTCCCGGAGAGCGATCCAGCCAGTACCAGCTGATTCAAGCCCCTTCCGCGCCGCACATGTCCTCATCTCCCTGTGCGTGCTCACCCACTGTGCCTGCTTAACCAACCCCCCGCGCTGCTCGTTGTCCGCCATGAGCTGCTCGGTAGCTAGGTACACCGCCACATCGTCCACAGGCAGCGCAGTAGCCGCCCAGTCGCGCCAGCTGTACAGGGGGCTGCGGGCCGCGTAGCCGTAGCGGGGGTAGTGCGAGTTGATCCACTCCTTGGAGTCGTATACCGGCTCGCGTGGCGGCGCGCGCGGCTCAAACGGCTCCAGCTTTTGTGGGTAAGGGGGAGGGCAGTGTCGCGTTCAGGATCATGTGCGAACGATGCGGGCAGCAGCATTGCCGGTTTTGTCAAGCACCAGCCTGGACCGAACCTTGTAGTGAGGTGCAATGGCCCCTGACACTGAGCACGGCTTGCTTGCCGTGAGGACATGCCGCTGCGAGTGCCCAAGAGCAGCTGTGGTCCCACGTGTGTCAACACGTGACGCTCACCAGCTCCAGCGCGCCTGGGATGTCACCCCACGTAAGCCGCTTCTTCAGGGGCTGTGCCACGTCCAGCTCCAGGGTCTCGTCATCCAGCAGTGCGCCGCGCGACATCTCTGCTCGACAGCGCAAAGCAGCGGTAGTGGTGGCCAGGTGCCTGGGGTCGCCATGCCTACTGTCAGCGCGTGTAGTGCGATCAGACAGCATGACAAGCCACACGCGGCTTGTTGCGACTGTTGTAATCCCCGGCCTGCGACGAACCTTGCAGCTCAACGATCGGCACCCGGTCGAGGCCGAGCTCTCTCGCGCCCTGGGCAAGTTGAGGGTCTTCATCAGAAATCTTCTGCGCGGCCGTGGCCCATTGGCGCACGAACAAGGGACCCAGATCACGCCTTGCAGCCCCCCTCGAGGGCCGCGCGGCCAACAGCACGCCTGCTGGAAACCGCATGCTAACTTGGATTGCACATCGTTGAACAGAAAGTTTGGTTTTGGTCCGCCTTTATGACGACGCAGCGACCGGCTGGCGTACGGCAGTGGCAGTGGCAGCAGGCGGTGCCCGGTCCACTCCCTCATGAGAAACCGACCAAAATTTGGCCAGTGCGACAATGCAATTGTTTACAAACATCAGAAATCACGCCCTCCCCTGGAAAATCCTGGTCAAAAATGTGAACCCACGTGCTCATTGACTAGGTCAATGCACACACACAAGTGCCGTCTGGCTGCTGCCCAGGCCCATATGTGCATGTGCTGATCCTGCTGTACATGGGCTTCTGATTGATTGCATGTCAGACCGCCAAGGCTGAGTGACACCAATGACTGGCCAGTCACTGATGTGGGCATACCAAGTGTGCTTACAGAACGTGCAGCACGCGCAGCCGGACGTACGCGACTCGCACAGCAAAGTCGCCTCTACTTGACAAACGTGTGGTTCATCACAGAGCTCCTGCGTGGCGGGCGCCGCTCTAGACATCTCACATCCTGGCCTCACACAGGTCAATAAGGTTGTACCCTCAACCCTGTGAAGCCGACAAGTGTTGTTGATCTGGTCTATGGTCCTGGGGCTTGCAGAACAAACTGTTTCACACAAACAGTGCGCCAGGGTTGGCACACCTCAGACATGGACAAGAGGCCGTTACATTGTCTGTCCGATGGTGTTGCACTTCATCACAATCGGACAGAAGCGAGGGCACACCAACCCTGCTGAATGAGGAGATGCTAGCTTTCTCAGGGGGGTTACCCTTGACGATACAATTGAAAAGTGGGGGTGGTCAGGCCAGGAAATGCGAGGAGGAACACGCCTCCTAGGCAGGAGAGTAAAGCAGGCCTGGCACTTGATAAGCAGAGGGGGTATAGGTATATTAGCGATACAACAGGTGAATACGGCCATCCACTCTTGACGCAGCACCGCCCTCCCTTCTTGTTCCAAATCATGTGACGCAAGCCTGACATGAGTGGCGCGGAACAGTGCAACTCTAGACACAATCAAAGGACGACACGATTCACGTCGCAATCCACATGCGCTCCAGGTGCACTTGCTGGAAAATGCTAGGCAGCAGCAACCGACGAACTGGGTTGCTCAGCAACAAGATCAGGATTGAATGACCTTGTGGCACAGAAGGATCTTAACGGACTTGCGATGAGAGGCCCGATGATGCAGAGCAGGAACAGTGAGTAAAGGACTGGACAGGTATGCATGCAGGCAAGTCGGCAATGACAGTCTGGGCTCCTGACTGTCTACCTTACTTGACGTGCGGGTTCATATTTCACTTTGATATTGTGATAACTCCGGCAAAATGTGTCGTCACTGATGCTGAGCATTTGAGGTTGCAGGGTTCTATGCACTAGGGCACTGCATTGGAGCTGCGTACGTGCTCTTGCACACCTGATTTGTGGACCTGCCATAAATACATGTGCCTGTGCCTGGACCAGTTGCACACCACCTGCATTGAGGCGTGGATTTGCCTCCATACTGGGTGCACGACTTGCAATCTTGAAATTGGCCGCACGACAAGCCCAGAATAGCGCCAGGATCACCATCCTGCGTTCTATTGTCACACATTTGCAGCACAATTAATAGAGTGCCGTTGTCATGCACTGGGGGAGCAGTTGTGACGTTGTTTGTGCGACAAAAGGTCTGATGCAAGAAGCAGCATCAGGCGTGCACAACGCTGCTGTGGCCCCTCCCCTCCGGCTGATGGTGGTGGCGCCCACAAAACGCACAATGCATGCCACCGCTTGCCTTTGGGCATTCTCTGCTGCTGTAGCCATACCAGCTTTTACACTGGCCACTTGTGTTTTGGCAGCTGGAATACCCATCAGCCGACCCTGCGCAGCCAATGATGTTGGGTTTGAGGAAGATAAAGCACGCAAAGCGCCGTTAGATGTTGGCAACGGTTTCAAAGACAGCGTATGTCTGCCCACACCTGCACAAATAACAACGCAATTGAATAAAAGCAACCGCCTGTCCCAACCTTCCAGCAAAACCTCTCTACAGCCCGACCTGACCAAGTGTTCTGAGGCCTCGTGCTCACCTGAAATGCACCACCTGCACTGATAAGTGTATCTGAGACACTCTCGGCAATTTTCCAGGTCGGCACACCTGACGCCCACCATGCCTGTAACGCCAGCAATTGCGTCCACTGGACAGCCGGCCGTGCCGCCCTCATGGGTGCGCGAGCAGAGATCCGTGCCAGCGGCAACGCACTTGGGCTTCACGTCTGGATTATCCGATGGCTCGATGCACCAAACGCACCCAGGTGTGCGCTCACAGCTGTAGCAGTTGTCAAATCCAGTGCACGACCTGGCTGCGGGACGCAATGCGTGATACACACAGTCGCACAAGCATGCGGGCTGTTGTCATGTGACGAGCCAGTGCAACCTATCAGGTGCCCGCAGCACCAGGAGGTGGGTGCAGGCACTGCCTTATTACCCTTGACAATGTCGGTTGTGCGGGCCAGCGCCAGCAGCAATCTGGCAAGCAGCAATCTGGCACAAACACCTCAGCGGCTTGCAAGTCAGGACAGTGCGTGTCACGGAGTTGTCATGGACAAGCTTGAGCTAGTTCTCACCCAGTTTGATGTTGCAGGCTTGCAGCCTGAACCCCGGCTTGAGCCATGCCCCAAGGTCTGGCAGTCGTTCACTATTCAGGCTTATCAGCACTGCAAGATCCACGCCCAAATCACTGGCAACCTTTGACAGGTATGTCTGGCGGTTTACCTGCGAGCAAGTCATATGAGGCAAACACTCATGGCGGCCAAAACACCATGCAGGTTTGAGGTGGGCGGTCTAACATGGGCCAGGGCCATGCGAACAGCACGCTCGGGTGCGACGCAGTACTAACACACTTGGATATCTGGACGCCTGACAGTCGGGCTGCTATGTTGCACCTCAGTTGGAAGGGGCAGTCCGGTGGGCCCAGTGGCTGCTTGCATACTCGATGGGCCCCACTTACCGTGTACCAGTAGCAGTTTGGGAGGCTGGGGTCCGAGGTGAGGCCGAGGGCCTGGGCAGGCGGCGGCTGTGAGGGTGAGAAGTTGACGCCAAATGTCGAGGAAGGGTCCGCGAGGTCCAGCTTGCCAAATTGCACCTGAAGATCAGATGAGGGAGGGAACAAGGGAGCTGCTGCCAAGCTCACAGGGTATATTTGCTTCCAACTCCATGGGGCTGATGACACATGGTGCTTGAACAGGCCGCCTGCAACAGCTCCAGATTGTGAAAGCAGCTGCGCGCTAGTCATCCTGCATCACCTTCCACGCAAAGCTGGTGGCACAGGCAGCATGCACAAGCGCACCCGTGCAAAGCCGCCATCGCCCCAGTCCTTGCCCCATGAAGACCATATCAGCCACCATCCGCCAGTGTTGTTGTAGCCAGCAAGCACCACCTACATCAAGGCAGCGCCAATAGTGGGCATGAGAAAGATGATGCCGAAGGCCCCTGGGAGAGCAAAATCTTGTCAGGGTGGTTCCTGCCAATGCCGCTGTTGCGTACGCAAGCCCCAGGCCAGGTTGCAACATGATGCGCCAATGCCAAAAGGATAGCCAAGGCATGGCTATAGCAGACGCACCGCATGATTGAAGCCGCCTTTGGAGCTTGCTTGCTGATCTGTGGTCCACACTTTTTGCCGGTTCTCAGGCTGCATGTAAAATTCCTGGAAACCGGTTGGCACCCACATGCGTGTGACAACAGCACCATTCTGCCTGATGCGGCTTTGAATCTGCGGCCAGGTGGTGGGCAGTGGTCGTTCTCATTCCTGTATCACTCTTGGTTTCCGTGGTTGTGGCAGACATGAAATCGCCATCGGCATCTTGCTGTGTGTGAATGCTACGCTGAGCCGGCATGGGAGTACCCATATCTGTGCTGATGCAAACAGCCCCAGATCACCAGGCATATCAGCCCCAAACCTGCCACAAAATGTCCTCGTGACAAGCCTTGCTGAAATCTAGGCCAGCTACCGTACACCTGGCTGCCTGGCCATCCCCAATGTAACCCCATAACAATCCCAATTACCTTCCAGATATTGTCGAACCTGACCCTGTTCGTGTAGGACAGCGTGCCCTCCACAGTGTTCTTGCATTTTGGCGTGCACGTTTCTGACAAGACACGGGTGTCAACACAGGGGGTAAGAGCATGTGCACACAGGAATGGACTCAGGGAGTGAGGCAGGTTGTTTGAGGGATCGCTTGAGGCACTCTTGTGCGCTCACCCCATCCCATCCCCCAAGTGAAACGCCACTGGAAACCGGCAAGCCAGACACAGGAAGGCAGGTGACGGCTCTAGGAGCACTCAAGCATGTCCCTCCACCTACCTTGATCAGACAGCCGGCTCAGGGTGTCGGAGTCCAAAAATGGCAAGCACGCGTCAGTGGGGATCCCCTTGCGCTTCTCCAGGCCGTTCAGGGCACTCACCAGCTCCCACCCTTCGCCGCAATTAGGACCAGCGCTGGATGCGTCGGCACAGAAAAACAGGCATCGAGCACTGATCAACGGCCCAGGATTGGCGCGCCCCAGCGCCATGGCCACAGCAGCGTCTGCCGCGGCAGCCACGGCCATTGCAACGCAGGCGTTGCAGTCATACTGGTCCCGGGGTGCGGGTGCCGCAGCAAAGCCACCAACTTGGTCTGACACACGTGTGTCATACGCTGCGGGGGAGGCGGCCACTAGGAGGGCGGCCTTATTAGCTGCCGCCGTGTTTGAGATGTCCACGCCGCAGAGGGTGGCAGAGCCCCGATCGGCGCATCGCGAGCTGGTGCGTGCCGCCTGCCAGTTGGGCCCTGACCAGGTTGTTGTGGCCTGGTTAAGAATAGACTTCCAATTTGTGATAGACTCTTGAACCACGGATGCACCCAGACGCCCTGGGGCAAAGCGCAGGCCCTGGGCCAGGGTGCCGAGCGGCGCGGCATGCAGCAACAGCACGAGCAGCGCGGTTGCTGCAAGGCCGCTGGCCCCCCTGCAGGCTAGCCGCAAGGGATCTCGAGGCCCCTGCGTGCCGTACAAGCCCATTCAGGAGTATCCGTGAGTACGGGCGTACAGGGGCGCACGATCGCAAGAATGTATGGCAGCGTAAATGGGCAGCAGCAGGCGCAGACGGCGCGAATGGGGGCGAGCGAGATCCTCGTTGAGCTGGCGTCTTGCCTGGAGCATGGCTTAGGCTCAGCACACAGTGACCTTGCTCGACGTTTTTGGCAGGATGGAACGGTATCACCCGCCCAAGTTCGCGGATGCTCGTCCGGATGGTGAACCCAGCCCGCCAGCCGGCGAGCCCGGCTTGGTTAGCCTGCTGTGGTCTGAATTATGGATGGCTAAGCCATCATATGTCTCTTGACGACAAGCTTGCTGGGTAGCATGCGGCACGGAGTGCAAGGTGGTGGCTCGTTGTACAGCAGCACGCCGTTTTACCTACGGTGGTACTGGCACCCGCAGGGGCACCGTTGCTGGAGACGGGGCGCCCCGCGATGGGACCTCCCATCCTTCCCAACTGTACATCATGCAAGACAAGAGACCTAGTGACAGCTAAGCTCTTGGGCGTGCGAGGGCTCAGCACAGGCTCCGCCAGTCATGTTGCTGCACCGGCCAACCTCCACGTGTGCGACTACGGGGGACCAGACTGATGCCAGCTTGTTCAGCCATTTCGCCACAATTTGAAAGATGACCCAAGATGAGGCAGTAGGGGAAGCTGTGGCTGGCTCACTCTGCTGTGGTTGCTGCGATTTGTTGAGCAGGTTGGCTGCTCGGAGCACGGGTCCTGCAGGGAATTGTGAGGTCATGAGGTGGCGATGGCGCTCGCGAAGGCGAGGCAGTACACCTTGCACCCCTGCACCCTTTGCACCGCCGTCAGGATTGGCAATGAAACCAGGCCACGGCGCACATATTCTGTACCAGGTGGCCACATTCGCATGCCCTGGGTTAGCACAGCCGCAGCAATGTCCGACTCGCTGCAGTGCCTGCAACAGGGGCCGATGAGCAAGGTAGACAGGGATAACAAAGGCGCAGACGAAGGGGCGGACGGCAGCGGATCACCGCTGCGCCAGCAGCAAGTGTGAGCACGTGACGTTTTTCAGTTGCCGTGTTACATGCGGGGCCCGCTGCTGAACATGCAGCATCCTCCAAGATGTCATGACGGGTTATGGGTGGCGGTGCTACAAGCCGAGCACAGGCGAGGGGCAGTTGGCGGGCGTGCAAGCGCGCGTGTTGGGGAAGTTTTAGGCGGCTTGTGACGGGCGCTGGTACAGGTGCACATGAGGGCGGCGGCAGCTATGCAGCTGCATGTGCGACGGTGGGTTGCAGATGACCATGCTGTGTGATTTTGCGTGTGGCGGGATGCGTGGTGGGCCGATGGCGGGCAGCACGCCCCATCTGCTAGCTCGCACCGGCATTAGAGCGTGTGGCGGCTGCCCTGCAGGCTTTCTGCAGCTGCTTTGACGGTAGCTGTGTGTGCATTCATTTTGTTTGCTTGCTGGGCAAACGCACTCTTTTTTTGGCGTCACCTGACTCGCCAGGTGCCACTATGTGGTGCACCGCCTCGGAGCAACGCGCTTGTGAGCCGGGTTCTGGCATGGGCTACGTTACTGTTGAAAATAGGCATGTGCACACTTTTGGGCTTGATCCATGCAGGATCCATGCACCCGAGTAAGCTGCTGCCAGGCAAACGCACACATCTACACCTACACACACATACACAATACAAAAGCCACTGAAGGGCTGCAAAGCCCAGGCAGCAGCAGCAGCAGCAGCAGCAGCAGCAGCAGCAGCAGCAGCAGCAGCAGCAGCAGCAGCAGCAGCAGCGGCAGCAGCAGCAGCAGCAGCAGCAGCAGCAGCAGCCGCAGCAGCAGCAGAAAAAGCAGGCAACCACAAGGCTTAAACCTGCAAGAGCGACAAGCAGGCAAGCAAGCCAAGCCAAGGACACCTCGGTGTGTTGAGGTCAAACCCCTGGTTGCAGCAGTCTGAACACCCCAACACAATGTCGCGACATGACCGAAAGGTGGCAGACCGGAGTTGCATGCATTCACACGACAATCAACCAACAAACAATAATATGATTCTACCCAAAGACAGACAGACAGACAGTAGTCAACACCTGCCGCCACGCATCACCAGTCACCAACTGTGCCAAGAGCCGTCTTGTCACGGTGATGGTAAGCCGTGTGCAGCAATTTACGCGCCGCCGCCGATCCAGGACCACCACCCACCCAATCACGGTACAGGGCATCAGCGGTCGCGCTCAGCATAGGCTGCCACTGCTGCAGAACAGTGCCCCTACTGGGGTCCGCCTCGACCCACGCCGCCGGGGCCCGCAAAACCGATGCGTTCATGCAACAACCGTCGCTCCTGCTGCTGCTGCACACTTCGCTGATGGCCGCCGTGGTCCCCTGGCCTTGATCGCAGACTCCTCCCAGCACCGCGTCGCCTGCCGCGTGGTCCCTCACGTAGTACAGGCGCTCCAGCTCCTCCAGAAGGCCCGCCGCACTCAAGCCCTCCCGCGGCTTGGCCTGGCCACCGCCATTGAGGCAGCCGCCAGGGCAGGCCATCACCTCCACATAGTCGTACTCGCAGCGCCCCAGCTTGATCCGCCGCACTAGGGACTGGATGTTGCGGAAGCCATAGGCAGCTGCAAAGCGCAGCGGCCGCGCTGTACCTGCGCCTTCGCCGGCAGGGGGCTCAATCATGAATTCCCGAAAGTCTGAGTTGCGCACAGCCTTGAGGGGCAGTGGGGTGCCCAGCGGTGGCAGCGCCGGTGCGGCACCACCGCTGCTGGAAATCTGAAGCCGGCCAGCAGCTGCACGCACGACTCCTTCCAAGTAGCCGCCACTGCTGCCTGGTGCGCCGTGCAGTGGCGGCTCCGCCCAGGGTGCGACCGCGTAGTGCTGCTTCCACCCGAGATCGCTGAAGCTGCCAACACTAGGCCCGTCCTGTCGTGACTCATGTTGCTGCTGCCCGTGCTGCTGTGGCAGCTGGTGCTGCTGGTGCTGCTGCTCTCTGCACAGCTGCAGGTGATCAGCCGGCAGCAGGGTGTCCAGGGCGGTGGGCGGCACATCGGCCAGGTTGCCCATGTCCCAACCCTCCAGCAGCTGCTGCAATTCTCCCGTGGTGAGGCACGAGTCGACCTCGGGAACCATGGTGCCTGAGGGGTGAGGGGATTATGCGGCATAGCCGGTTTTGAAGTAAGGAAACAACGGGTCGATGCCTCTTGTGGGCCGGGGCAGCAGCAAAGTACGCACTGTACACGATTGAAAGCTTAACCCTGTCCGCTTATCACTCTGTTGGATTGAAGGTGGACAAGCACACCTGGTTGGCCACTCGCCCGTCTACAAAAGAATTCAAACCCTGCCCCGTCACCCAGTGTCGACTCCGCCGCAACCAGCGAGGTCACCAAC